AGCCATGGAACGAAGTATGTACATTCATTTTCTCTGTGTATCACATTGCTTTTCTTTCAATAGGCTCCAATACTGGTTTTTCGGAATACGCTACGCACTCAAATTAATAATAGAGCTGTCTTAAAAAAAACAATGGAAATGGGACTTACCCCAATTGTATGCATTGCTCAAGATTATATTCAAGGAAAACCAGTGGATGATCTACGATTACGTAAAGCAATACTTGAACTACCTGATAATAAAACAGAACATCTTCCAGGCTATTTACCTCTCGTACCAGGAATGCCAGTTTTACTCACAGAAAACGTCGCTACTGAACTTGGACTCTCCAATGGTACACGTGGAATCTTTCGTCAACTTGTATACGATGAATCATCAGAAGATGTTCGATACCAGGATAAGAATTTTCCACCAAATACCAAGTTTATAACGCAACCAAAGTACGCTTTAGTAGAATTTCCTGGCTGCAAACTTGATGACAAACTTGCTGAATTGCAGTCCAAAATAGTTCCTATAGCTATTAGTGAACAAACATTCTTGTTTGACGCCAAGGAACTTCTTCCAGAAAATATAGCAAAAGCGGCCAAAATAAACAAGAAAACAACAAAACTCTCGGTCAAACGTAAAGCACTTCCGCTTATACCCGCATATAGCATGACAACATATAAAAGCCAAGGCCAAACACTCGGTAAAATTATCGTCGATCTGGTCATGCCTCCTGGACCACTCGAAGTTGCATCGGTTTATGTTCCATTATCTCGTGTAAAGAGACTTGACGATATACTTATTATACGTCCATTTGAATTTGCAACACTCCAAGTTAAACCATCAACGGCCCAAATAGAAGAACTTAAACGATTAGATAAAATAGCACAAAGTACTCGGAAACGTTTTCAATTCATTGTTTAAAACAACAACGTCGCAAGAGTGCCGTGATCTTCAGGCAAACCATCTAACTCATAAAAAAAACTATATTGCATGCTCGAAATTTGTGCATTTTACAGTTCTAGCCCATAGATCATTTTGTAAAACTTGTACGAAACTCTATTTCAAATAAAAGCGATAAAGACAAAAGAAAATGAAAAGAATTTGAACTATGCAAACGAACCGTATTGATAGAAAGTCACTATCGCTTGCGCATCCAACCGGCATCCCAAGCAGCATTTGACAGCTATATACTACAATACAAGCTATATATGACATACGTCATATAAAACTTTCTTAAGTAACGATTCCAGAGAAGACAAACAGTGTCAACCATATTTTGTTACCAATATCTCCGCTAAACTCGCAAGTGCACCTTCATGTGACCCAATCGTAACAAAACCACAAACTGCATTGAGGACTAAAGGCAACCGAACCACCCTCATTTCATTCGATAAACTTTCATATACAACCAGTACCGTATCATTAACTACCACACATCACTAAAACTCACAGAAAATACCCAAGAATACTGCCCCAACAGGCATTTCGACCATACTCAAATCTAGACTGCCAGTTTCAAACACAAACACGGTGCCTATGAGTGCAGGATCTAGTGTGGATGTCGGTGTCGATATGCATAAGAATGTTTCATTCAATTCCAAATCCAAACACACACTCACACTCCAACTCATCCAAACGCACCGAACGCCAACACCCACACCCACTCCCAGACTCACATCCAAACTCAACTCACTCCCACACTCGCCACATCCACACCCTATCAAACCCATATTCCCACTTTCCTCCTATCAAAAACACATTCCCACCCTCACCCTCAGCCTCATCCTCACCCACGCCCACACCAACACCCACATGCACACCTCTACATCCACGCCCACACAAACTTAAAAATTTATCCTCGCTCCGAATCTTAACTCACAAAATATCATTAGCGCATAGCTGAATTAAAAACAAAAGCTAAAATACATTTATTTGGTCACCCTCAAAATCTCATTCGTGCTTGGACAAACTGTGAACACCTATGATTGGTCCAAATGGCCACTCTCGAAATCTCATTGGTGCATAGCCAAACTGTGAAAACCTATGATTGGTCCAAATGGCCACTGTCAGAATCTCATTGGTGCATAGCAAAACTGTGAAAACCTATGATTGGTCCAAATGGCCACCCTCGAAATCTCATTGGTGCATAGCCAAACTGTGAAAACCTATGATTG